TCTTTGGCTTTCGATCTTTTCGCGTCCACCATCCACTCAATTTACTCGTGTTCAACGATGCACATGTTGTTTTGTTCTGTTGTTTGTTTCAATGTTTCTCAATATCATGTACTATGACTTGGCCAACGAGACCAAATCAACAGATGGACTGAATCTATCGTTCGGTCCCATTCGCATCGGTCCGCAGCAGGTACATCAAATGATTTGTGTGTTTGAATTACTTTTGTGTATTTGTTTGCAGATCATGATTGGTGTGATTGTTGAAGTGTTTGCATTGATTCCCAGCTTGTTGCTTGTTCAGCTATTTCGTCGTGTTCGTCCTCGTGGACAAAAACAATCATCATTGCGTCAAGCGTTGTACAAAATGAAAGGCAATGTTGAAAACAATGTCAGTGAGCAGAAGCAGCAGCAGAAGAAGAACATGGAGAAAAAGAAGAAAACATTAATGTTTCCATGGTGGTTTGTTTTGCTTGGTTATGGGCTATGTCTAATCAGTGTGACTGTTTCCATTTTGTTCATCATTGCTCGCGGCATTGAATTTGGTGATGAGAAGACTGAGAAATTGTTGATATCCATTATCAGTGGTTTATTTTCTTCGATTCTGTTCACTCAACCACTGAGAGTCAGTATTGCTTGTTCTTGTGATCAGATGTGTAACACACATGTCTTGTTGCTGTAGATCATAGCATTGGCCATCTTCTTTGCTTGCTTTTGTCGAAGTCCACAAAATGATAAAGAAGCAGACGAGTTGTTAAATGACGGCGATCAAATCGATCTACAAGCTGACGAAGAATATCTGCATGTATTGCAGGTTTGTCTCTGTAATGCTTTTTTCTACATTTAATAGTAATTCATGTATTGTAGAACAAATCTTTGTTCACTCGCCCAGCATCTTTTCGTGTTCATCGTTTGAACGAAGGTGAAATTATTCGTTTGCGCGATGTACGATTGAGACAGATGCAAATGTGGTCTGTCATTCATGAAATAATGCTGCGTGCGTGTTTTTTGTCAGTAGTTTATGTGTTGATCTATTCGAGTCGAGATTCAAATGCATTTCATCAGGTGCATCATCTCAGAAGATATTTCCTCAATCCAACACAAGCTGATCTTGATTATACAAAAGTTAGTTCTCTAGTTGAGTTTAATCTCATAGTCTATTGTGAATTTATTTAGATTTCAACTGTTGATCAGTATTGGCATTGGTTGGAGAAGAGTTTTGTCGGTGATCTTCGTGCACAGCAGTGGTACAATGGTGATCCGCCTCGATATCTCGCTGGTTTCATTGATGATAAAGCGAATCGTTTGATTGGATGGGCAACGATGAGACAGTTGAGAGTTAGATCTGCCTTGTGTGAAATGCAAAATAGCATCTCTTCGATATGTCAAGGTGACTATAGTGTGAGGAATGAAGATCGAGAATCGTATGCACCTGGGTGGTTTAATCGATCGTCACAAACGTATCATTCATCAGTTGGAAAAGCATTTCGATACACATCTGGTGATGAGCTAGACACATATGTATATGTTGGAGATCATGCAAGTTATGCAAGTGGTGGTTATGTGTATGAATTTCGTGGTCGATTGAACGATGTTCAAAGTAATGTTTCTGCACTTCATCAACTCGGTTGGATTGACAATCAGACTCGAGCTGTGATCATTCAGATGACTTTGTACAATGCTAACGTTGAACTGTTCACCGGCGTGACTTTTCTTGCTGAGTTTCTTTCATCAACTGGAGTGTCGACGAGTGCTCGTTTTGAACCCATTACTTTCTATGGTAAGCAAACCTATTAACACTTTCTATACATACAGCTTCTTCTCTTCTTTCTTAGCGTTCAGATCAATTTTTGAGTTAGTTTGCATAATTATATATATGCTGGTGATCTTGTACTTCATGTGGATTGAAGCGAGATCATTGTTTGATCTAAGATGGAAATACTTTGTTAGCTTTTGGCGCTATGCTCAGCCGGGAATTATCATTTGTTCATGGGCAAGTGTTGTCATCTACATCTGGCGATACAGAGAAAGTCAACGAATCGGTCAGTTATTTGAAGAAACGAATGGTTACGTTTATGTCAATCTACAATTAGCCATATATGTCAATGATGTTCTAACATATTTGTTGGGTTTCTGTTGCTTTTTTGGTACAATTCAATTGACTAAATTATGTCGACATAATTCACGACTTTGTTTGTTCATTCATACACTTCAGTATTCTGCTAAAGAACTATTATCATTTTCAGTGATGTTCTCGTTAGTGTTTACATCATTTATGTGTCTCTTTTATCTCTTATTTCAGTCGAAACTGCGAGAATGTGCAAGTCTATTGGGAACGGCACAGATGTTATTCGAAATGACATTGATGAAATTCAACGCACAGGAGCTGAGTGGAGCAGCGACATTTCTTGGTCCCTTTTGCTTTAGTTTATTCATAATATTTGTGGTGTTCGTGTGTATCAGTATGTTTATGTCAATTATTAGTGATAATTTCCGTTGCATACGAAAAAATGTCGATGATAAACACACTGAAGTATTTTCGTTGATGTTCGAAACCTTTGTAAAATGGATAGGTAACGAGTATTGAATTGATTTCAGTTGTACAAATGTATGGTATCTGTTTAGGATTGAAAAGTGTAACAAAAGAAGAGATTCAAGCTGAACGAGATGCACAAATGCATGAAGAGTATTACGACCCGATTGAACGCTTTCCAGAAAAGATTGATCAATTATTATTCGCTCTGAATGAAGTAAGCTCTGTTAATTAGAGTAAGACTGGTCACATTCCTCATTGTTGATTTTTTGTAGATCTATATGGATTAAAAAGAAGTCTATTTGTTAAAAGGCTAACCATTGTAGTTCTTGAATGAAATATTCTTTTATAAAGCTTTTTGTCACAAAGTGTTGCTTGTCATTTGCATTCAATATCGATTCAATTAAATTTAAGAAATCTTAAACGTACTTAAATAGAGTAAAAGGACCGACAGTACGCACGGAAGGATATATTGGGTAGTTATGAGAAACTGTGATTAAAAAGTAAGATTACCATTAATTGTTCTTGTATTAGTGTTACAGTATGATGGCATCAGCATACATCCACCTGCACTCATGTTTTCTTTTGCTCATGTTCGTTTATACATTCAAAAAGATACAGAGAAGCAAGTTTTATTATTTCTTCGGCATGAAAGTCAATGACACATTGCATGAAGCATGATGTGGGAGAAATACTGTCCTATCCAGTTACACGCGTTTGGTGTAAACTAAATTCACATTCTTTATCTTGCTATGAGTATGGTACTGTTACCTATCGCACATTCTCGCTGTCTCTTGATGAAAAATATGATTGTTACATAGATAATCAATAAATATGAATAGCATTCAAGTAAGGCGTGTACAGAAAGAAAAGAAAGAGATAAATATGTCGTATCGAAGTTATAACTTCGATGCAGTACTAACTTCGACACGACAAATATATGGATGGATTTGAAGGTGATAAGAGTAGTGATTGATCTTATGCTTAAATCTTTCGAAACTTCTTTTTCTCGTTGCACCAATACTTCAGATATTAGGATATTTTGCAAGAATTCTAGTTGAGTTGAACTGTCTATCATCTATCTTGTAGACAAAGAGAAAATTATATATCATTAGTATCATATAATTATGAGTCAGTAATGTACGGTTCACAGATCCAAAATGGTCGTCGTGATCAAATCAGGAAACAACAAAAGATTCTGATCATTTTGACCGCACTCGGATTGGTACGTTCCCTTCTTTAGACTTATTCTTCTCGATAATGTTATTATTGCAAGTGTATAGGTAACAGGTGTAGTGATAAGCACATTCGAAACTGTTTTAATGGGACGAACCAAGAATCAATCACAAACGATAGATGTCGAAGAGAAAATCCTTGATCGTTTTAACGATGGTATGTCGCTTTCTAATATTTTTGGCAATATTCAATTAAGGTACGAATGTGCCGTTGAAAAATAGAACATATGTGCTGTCAAAAACTATTTGAAACCCCTCCGAGACCTAATAGTATTGGCCCTGATGAAAAAATATTTCTATTTTAGCCTGGCAAGATATGGTGCTGGAGTGTCTTTGTCTTTACTTTATAATCAAACTCGACCGTATCGGTATACTCATGGTGAATACAGGAATCTGTTTTTCGTATTGTATGAATTATTCTTTATTCTGTTTTATATTCCAGTTTGCATGGATTGCAGTAGCTGGTGCACTCTTATTCTCTGTTCATTTCGTTGCTTCTGTCTTCTTTGCCCCCAAACCAGCATCAGTATCAGGATCGATTGTTGAAACTAGCGGCCCCACAGTGTCTGTGGACATCTTCTATATTATTCTTGGCTTCATCGGTATCATTATATTTGTGAGTGTTAATACCTTGTCTGTCAGTAGAATTCTTCAATTATTTCATCTTTAGATATTGCAAGTGATATATCTATTTAAGTTAAGCAAATCATTAAAGCAACATATCAGTCAATGCGGTTCGCAACAAACTTCACTCATCTGAGAAAGATGGTCACTTCTGTGAAAATTTTCTTTTTTTCCCTTCTTCACAGAGTAAATTTTCGAATGTTAAGAATGAGGATGTAAAACATGGAGCTAATAAATATGTAAATGTAACGATGACTTCTCTTTTATATTACATCTTTGTGTTGTTTGTTTGGTCATGATGGGGATGAGGAGATAGCATTGGTGATCTTTCATAGGAACCTATACAAAAATGTGGTTACATTAGCATTATGCCGCCGTACATCGACAGTCGGTAAAGCAGATAATCTAATTCTAAACCATGACATATAATGCCTACTCCCATATCTTTGTTAGAATTGCAAAAAAATCTTATCACAGGTTTCTTATGCTTGTTATGCTATAATAGTATGATCAGTACGTACGAAATAATCAATTCTTCATCATTTTTTCCTATGTTTCTCGCTACTAAAGCTTCTGTGACACTATTATTGCCAATAAAACATGGGAGTTATACATGGAAACAATGAAAAAAAAAAGATTTGTATGTTTTCGATCGCACTTTGAGAATGTTTTTATAATCTCATTTTTTTCTCTTCTGCTCTCATAGTGTGTAAATAGAAGCAATCTTTTGAAACGTATCAATATGAAACGTTCAACAAGAGTCTTAGCTGTTAGAGCTAAGAAAAAACCAAATGGGCACCAATATTATTCACAATCCCAAACTGTACGCATCACTGTAACGACTTATTCATATTGACTTCAGTAATCTTTCGATAGATTCAAACAAAGCCTTTTAGCTCCACTGATCCCAGAGTGAAGAAGTCAGACATAGCGTTGAATCAATCAGATCCGACGACGAATAAACTACAGTCTCAGGTAGGACATTTTCTGGATGCGCTTTCTTTGAAGTTTTTTTTTAATCTAAAGAGATCTTCATCTTTAACTCATTTCGACTCGTTCTATACAACAAGTCATTCAAAAGCTTCATTTTCATCTCGTATTGAACCATTCTCAACATCAAAGTCATTAGGTGTCACTCCTAACATATCTTTGTTCAACAAAAAAGAGGTATGAGCAAACTTTCGATCTATGAGAAGATTTTAATGTGACGTATGTTCATTGTATACTATATTAAGGTGGAACTTGGAAACCGAGATCGTTATGACCATTATCGTCGACATCGCCGCCATCATCCACATCCTTTGGACGCAGTTTTTTCGTGTTGTTCGCCATGTTGTTGCTTAGCATCCAGTCTACTCCTGGCGTTGGTTCTTGTCAGTATCGCTACACTGGTCGGACTATTGATCATAAATACATTGAGCACAACAGCAAAAAGTAAGTCTGCTCTACTTCACAGTATCATTAGTTCTATGTGAAAACATTCTGTTTGGTCAGCAACATCGACATCAACAGCATTCACAACTAGCACCGTAACTGTAGGAACGACACTAACTAGTACCAGCACCAGCACCAGCAGCAGCGTCAGTACAACAACTAGCACCGTAACTATAACAACTACAGATACGACTACTGTCACAATGACTACAGAAACAACAACACAGACGACAAGCAGTACAACTACTACAGGTGATAGATGAAAAGATTTTCTAGTATTCATAAAGAACTCTACTTGTTTTCTTCGAAACTAGAATATCACTTTCATATTTACAGGTATTGTTAGTATATCTTCAACGCGAGGTAACTATTATGCTCGTGACGCCATCGTTATCAGTTGTTCAACTCCTTGGACGAACCTTACTATTGAAATCATCGTACCGAAAACTGTTGGTGCAACATTCAATGGCCAATCCAATTCATTTTCAACTGGACAAGTCACCCAGTCTTATGTTGACACTGGCACAGAAATAATTTATACGTGGAAAATCGTCAGTGGACAAACAATTAGTTGTGCCAATCCAACATATAATGTCGCCGCACAATATAACTTGTCTGGAACACCTCAGCCTAACAATGTTGATAGCTATACAATAACTTTAACAACTAGCACTGGAGTGACTACTGTACAATCTGGATATTTTTAACGTAATCATGAGAAGCCTTTTTTATTCTATGGATTGTGCGGCTGTTCACTTAAGACTGATGACGTTGTATCTCTAGATTACTAATATGGTGTGAGATGAATATTATTGCGATACTAACACAGCTCGTTGAAAAACTCAAAGTAAACTATTGAACTTGCACCACTGTTTCTAACAAACTATTATTGTTTCAGCGCATTCTTTTTCATATGTAAAAATAAGCAGCATGCATCAGATACGCAAGAGTGTTAGAACATAAAAAGCGATTGTAGAAAGTACGTGCAAGATTCCTACACCTACTTTTGCAGTAGCAGTTTTCAAGAGCATACTTGTAACTATGCAGGAAGAATGAACGAATTAGTATCGTCAAATAAGCATACTACTAAACCGGAATCATTTTGATGTAAAATCGAAACGATCGAAGATTCTGTTCTGTGTGAAAAAGAACGCTTACAAGTCTTGGAATAGCTGATTGGAAATAGACACGAAACTGACTACTGATACCATCATCGAATGGTAGGAGTGAATAATAGTGTCCGAGAAGTGCGCGTGCGAACTGTTCGAAGCCAACAGAACAGAGATGAGTAAAATGAATATAGAAGAGGATATGAGAATTGAACAGCTAATGATTATATTTAGTATGTAGTGCAGTGATGAATTCATTTCGAATGAAACAAGGAAATGAAAGAAGTTTGTCATCCATCAACAAATTGTAGACAATAACAGGAAAAGTATGAAGAACATTTAGTGCTTGAACACTAATTATGGATTATAAATATTTTTTTCTATGATAATCGGATTACCTTCAACAATAAAGATCAAACGATGTTATTTTTTGCTTATCTCATGAAAATCGCCTTTGCGAATTGTTTTTTATTTCCACAAACATGATTCAACGAAACAACATGTTCAGAGAAGAGAAATAAATCGATATTAAATTCTTCACGCAAGCATAGCGATCGCTTACAAGGTACACTCGACACCCAGTTACGTGCAATATGACTGCATATAGATGTATGATACAATACAGAGTAGGGAAAGATGGAGGTACGAAAAATCTTGTTTTGCTTCTGTCTATTGATTGAGTTGACGACGCATTCTTATCTAATTCGTCGCAATAATCAAATTCTCAAGTATAGCCATGGATGGGAAGGCTCATCGAAGAATTTTCGATTTAGCGATGATGAACTAATGCGCAGTAAATTTGTTCGCAATTGAAATTTAGTTGGTCATTGAATATGAACTACAATCGATTATTTTGAATCGAATAATCTTAAAGACATGCGCTAGTAAACGCTCGGTTACAGATCCAATCAGTTGCTGGTACTGAGCAAAAGCTCCAAAAATTTTGATACATACTTGACAAGCATCGAATGAGCTGCAGATTTGCAACCAATATGTTGAAATCTAATATGATAAGTATCGTAAAGCCAGAATCAAGAGAAAGTAAAGTTACAAGTGTATCTATAGACTCATCTGCAGAAGTGAGGAGCCTGAGAGTTTTTCGGTCCGCTTTTCAGCCCGAACTGAACTATCTATGGATGTTTCCCAATATCACGGATTTCTCAGAGTGCTATAACTAGTACTGAAAACGCTTTGAATGTCATCACCTGTACAAAAACAGACCAAACTAGTCATCAGATATAATTCTATCGAGCGAAAAGACGATGTTAATTGTAGATTATAGGTAGTCAATCTTGTTTCATCGTAAGAGTGTTTTTTGTTTAATGTTAACCAGCGAGCGAGTAAAGCTATTTATTGCGAACATGTATCATAATATGTGAAAAAGTCATTTTTATTCTGATTAACTTCATTTTTGCATCGAGTTTTCTTCGTGTTTGAGTTCTTCTCGATTGTAGAGCATTGCACTGCGTAATGTATCAATTTCCCTTCTCTTTCGTTCCATACATATAAACTACACAAAAGTCTACCTCATCGAAAAGGATATCTTTATTCGGTTGATGTTTCCCTCTCTACAACTCATAAAAAGTAAATCTACGATATCAACCGAACAAGTAACATTGTTTGACAAGATAGTAATAAAACGAGACGTGTTCGAGTGAGGGTTTTTTTTTCTTCATACGATTATATATATATGATGCTGACCGTTCGTGCATATAAGGTCAACCCTCAATTTCTTTGACTACGAACAGTTCTTTCTCTTCTTTTTCTTTTCGTTCTTGTTCTTTTATATTTCGCGTACGAACGTCAACATGTACATGGTCTATTGATTCATTCACATCGTCATGCCTCCGAAACTAAACAAAAAGACTAGTGTGAGTCTTTATAAGACATTCATTGATGCTTATTTAAAAGCTCATCGTAACGACGAACCAGGCGTGAGTTTAGCTTGATTAAAAACAAAAGAAAACTAGTTTGATTGTTTCTAGGTGAGACATCGTCGTGCAATAGCTGAATGGAATGAATTGAAATGGAATGAAGAATATGTGAAAGAGAAAATTGAAGAATATTTAGAAACTTTTAATCAATTAGTTGCTACTCAATCGAATACAGCTGTTGAACAAGCATCCATTCCACGTCGATCATCAAAAGCACATAAAGACAAATCGGATGCATCAGATAACCTTGAAGAAGAAGAAGAAGAACAAGAAGAAGAGGAAGAAGAAGAGAAGAAAAGTCGAAGAAAAAGTTATTTTACTAAGCCACCAAGTAAAGCAACTGAAGATGAGATAAATATTGACGAATTGACAAAAATGCCATCGGCTATACCTGATATTGCACTGGAACCATTAGCGAAAGAAAAAAAGCAGCCGGCACAAGAACGTGTTTTTAGAGAATTAAGTTCGATTAACGAACGCATTGCTTCGCTAATACAGATTCGACAAATGGGCTTATTGACAGCAGAGAATCGAAAACAGTTGAAACAGTTGATGGCAGATAGAAGAAAGAAAGCCTTTGAACTACGACGTCTTCAATTAAAAGTCAAAGCTTCGCATCGATATCGTGATAAACGAAGAAAGATCGTATGAGAATGAGTTTAGCTTTTAGAAACGAATCTGTTTGTTATTTAGGTGGAAAATCTGTTCGAAACAAAACCAGAATTGCGTCCAAAACTGAAAAAGCTCTATCGACCAGGTGGTGGACGGCCAACTATTGAAGAACAATATCCCGATCTATTACAAATCATTGAAGAAATTGCCAAAGTCGGAGGTGCAAGTGATTGTGGACGTCGATCCGAGATCATTCGACCTTGTTTGACATTAGACGATCTAAGAGAAAAACTTCGACAACGAGGTTATTATGTCAAACGAACAACACTCTATTATCGCCTTTTACCTCATCGTATTAATTCGATCGATGGTCGTCGACATGTGCACACTGTTCCTGTTCGTCTTCGTCGTGCACAAAACGACGAACATGGTAAGCACGACGATGGCCATTTTGCTGCTGCGACAATTCGTTATGTCAAGGACTTGATTTCCATATTTGGCAATGATTGTGTCTTATATTTATCTCAGGATGATAAATGTAAAGTTCCTATTGGTCTACCAGCCGCTCGTGCACAAGCTCCGATGTTGATGCATTTGGATTACCGTATACGTCTACCGGATCATGACTGGACAGTTGCCCCGCGTCATCAACTAACACCAAGTGTGTATGCAGCATGTCTTCTATCCTCTGATGGAACATTGAGTCATTGCGGACCGACATACATTGCCATACGTTCAGCTAAACACGATTTGTCCAGCGCCGAATCTCACGCAGCTGATTTTGATCGTCTTGTTGGCTTGAAAGAATTTGAGAATATTGCACGAGATAAAAACAATCAAGTCAAACCGATTGTGGTGTTCACAGTCGACGGTGGTCCGGATGAAAATCCACGCTTTCCAAAAACATTGGTAGCTTGCATTAAGAAATTTAAGAAATACAATTTGGACGCATTGTTCGTTCTTACATATGCGTAAGTTTTGACTTTTAACAATCGAATACGACACACGCATGCTTTTTTTAGTCCGGGTCAATCGGCCTACAATATTGTTGAACATCGTATGGCACCTTTGTCTCATGATATGGCTGGTCTCATTCTTCCTCACGATTTCTATGGCTCGCATCTGAGTGATTCAGGTGTAACAACAAATATCGACCTAGAAAAAATGAATTTTCGCAAAGCTGGAGAAATTTTAGCTGAAACGTGGAATCAAACCGTTGTCGATGGATTTTCATGTGTCGCAGAGTACATCAATCCACCGGCAACAACCGAAGATGAACGAAGACAAAGCGATATCAAATATATTATCGATAGTCTTTTACGAGAGTAAGATGAACACCTTCACTGAGTTTTGCCCGAAGTTTCTCTTTGTAGAATTTGTGCGGATGAAGAAGCAGAAGAAGGACACGAGCATCGTGTATCAGCACGGGATGAATACCATCAGGAAAATGCCCGTCCGGCAAGAGAAAAACTTAGTGAGCCAATGAAATACGACATTGATGAATATTGGTGTGCGACACATGTTTTACAAACACAGTATACTTTACAGATTATTCGTTGTAATTCCATTTCATGTTGTGGACCATGGCGATCGAATTATGTGAAGATCTTTCCGCATCGATTCTTGCCGTCACCGGTTCCATTCGAACGAACCGTTCACGGCATTCGAGTAGCTGAGAAAGATTATCAGAAAGGGATATTTTACGGTTCTTTATTTCAACGAATTCAATTTCATGGAATTGTTATCCAACATACGCAAGTAAGAAAGGAATTTGCTTGTAGAGAATCATCTTGATTTGACTTTGTTTCCAGAACGAAATGTTACCATTTGATTACTGTTGTGCATCGGTTAAAAAAGAATTAAAAAAACGGACTTGTCAAATATGTAATCAATACATTCCGTCAGCATATCGAATGAAAAACCATTATAAAATTCATGCACAACACTACGACGATTTCGATCATGACCAAGACGATACTCTACCACCTTCGGATAATTCTCAATCAATAAATCCAACTTCAACAAAACAGATGTTAGACTGGCTTCAATCAGATACGAACGTCAGTGTTACTGTGGACAGAATTACAGATTCTTCCGATACGTGTTAAACCAAAGTTCGATATTGTGATTGTTTTAGTTATTGTTTTTATTAAGTGTTTGTTTTAACGTTCGTTATTTCAGTAGCATTGAATTGATTGCTCGTGAAATAAAAATTGGTGTACAGAGGCAAAAAGTATTACGATACACTTGCGTGTTATAGTAAGTCATGATTCTTCGTCGAAGATTTCATCAGACAATCGACTCCAAAGAAAGTGTCGAAAAGGAAAATAAAATTCTCTTCTATGAACGTTCTCGTTTTGTTTTCTCGATACTTTTCCTTTCTGTGTTAAAATGATTAGGTTTAACGAGTTGTATACTAAACCAATGGGATCCACTATTAGTGACGCATTCATTATTCTCGGTCCAAATCCAGGTCAATCTTTGCGCAATGTACATGTCATCACTTTTTATATGTTCTCCCATTTCTTACACGACTTCCCACTACATGGCGTCATCAGCGAAGTGTTTGATTGGCTTTTCACTGTACAACATATACATATAAATAATCGATGTAGTTTAACCTTCGATATCCTATCGGTAATTTGACGTCAATTCTTACCTATGGAAAAACAATTGAAAACAATCAAACGTGTTTATTCAACAGTTTATCATGGTGAACAACGATGTATGCAAAATGCAAACTTCTTATCCGCTAATAACGCAATTGTATATCCAAATGATAAACTTCTATACAAAAAGCCAGATAACACGATCGATTTCATCGATCTTTCGACGATCAATAAGAGTGTATTTTTCGATAAAGGTTCAAATCAAGATACAGTTTATGGAAATGTCGTACAAAAATATAGTTTAGCCAAGTCGCATCTAAGCTTCAATCCTGACGAATACGAATGCGAAATGATCGACAGTGGTGAAATGTTCATCCTAAATCTAATCGATCAAAACTTGCCCACCATCATTGCCGTATCAGAGATCTATCCAACATATTTCGATCTTGGATTGTGTTCACAAAGGTCCAATCCGACGTGTTTAGATTTCAGGCATCGCATACTTGACAATTTAAAACACTCTGGTGATATTAACATCGTAGGTTCAGCTGGAAGCACGTTGTTACATTGTATATCCGGTCAATTCAATCCTGGAATGAAATACATTACGGTTATTTCGGGATTTCAATCGACTCCGTTATATCGATACCTTGAACGACGACCGATCGTCACAATTATCGATCACGAAAAGAAAATTATCTACGTCATTCCGGTTCCATTAGATGAATTTACCATCGGACAATCCACAATATGTCTACCGATTGGTATTACATGTTTAGAGAGTTCAGAAAACTCCAAGCAACGATTATTAATTGAAATATTCTCGAATACAAAGTCCTGTGATAGTTATTTACCAGATTTATCATCTACGGCTCGAGATACAGTTGCTCAATCCATTGAAATGATCAGCTCAGATATACCAATTGAAGAAATAGTCAATGAAACGGTGAAAATCAATATTTCTCATGAAATCGAAGTCGACCAGGACGAGGAATGTAAAGTCCCATCGATGGGTGAACATTCTGTTCTTATCTATAGTGGTATTGATGAAATCGGCGATTTAACGAAAAAAATCAATCCAGACATACTGATCCGATCGATGAACACACACATTATCTACAGAAAACAAAATGATAAATATGAATTACATCCGGAATATCATGACATGAATTCCAACGAAGAATTAAACATAGGTCAACAGCATTTTCCGAATTTATTACCTATGGAAGGTGGATCGATTCTATTCGCCAGTAAAACCGTTCCTAGATTAAACTCGAATCAATCTGTAGTCGATCAAATCCACCAGACGATCTTTCGAAATACTTTTCCAGTATTCATCATTGGTCCGATGGATGACTTATGTCGTCAAGCTGCAACAAAACTTAAATTCGACGCAATCTACATTCGCATTGTCGACTATCCCGGTGAGGAGATTATGATCGATGACGTTAAACGAAACACGTTTCTCGAAAATGCATGCATGAATGGTGTGACGGCATACGCGGGACCATTATCTCTTGTTTTCATCGCCATTCAAAATCCGACGACGAAGAATTTTCAATATTTTTATGTGGATGGTATTCGTCACGAGAATTTCATCGATACGATTCCACCGTTCGGTGCTGACGTAACAAGTCTCATCGAATCCAAGCTGATGGAACGTGATCCAATGCAAAATTCGATTGTTGATCTCACTGACGAAAAAGTTTTGTTCAAAAAAGATTTCATACCATTCTCAGACTTTCGAGTTCAGCTACTGATGATGTCATTGGATGAAATGCTCGCGAATAAAGCTGATATACTCGACGTGATTTCTCAATGTCAACGAATCTACGGACACGAAATGATGCGTAAATGTTCAGATGAATTACTTCTATTGTTAGAAAACAAAATCAATGAAGTCATCGGTGAGTGCAAGAAATCATTTTGCCTCGATTTACAATCGGATAAACAAAAGCTAGCGAATGAAGTCGGTCGAGTCAAAGGTATGATTCGCAAAATAAAACAGAGTGTTCAAGACTTGGTGGATAAAATCGGATTGGCTATATCGAAACGAAGACAATCATCCATTCGATTCAACTTGGCTCAATTAAAGAAGAAGGAAACGATCAAGCAAAATGTTCAACGAGCTTTACACATGTCCTATCAAGATTTTTCAGATTTACTAGACGAATTATGTAACAAGTCCGGCGTGTTATGGTTAAATCTCGATTCACAATACTTACTTCTGATGTTAAAAGCAATCAAAGAGAATGAAATGCACAAATACATCACCGAACCGATTTTACCCTTAATTCGTTGCCGAAATGGTGATTTCAATATTGATTCATTTACAATTTCGATTCTCTTAGAACAAACCGCACATAACCGATTTGATCCTATTCGACCACAACAAGTCCATGGTATTGTCACAAGTTTACCTGCCTCGGCAACACCGGAAGGTTTACAAACAAGTTCGTGGTTCTTTCCTTTATTTGATAGATACAAAGATCTACAAGTTCCCTATGATGTCAATTGGATAAACGAAGCGAATCATCCTGACATAGCATCATTTCGTATTCTCGCACGAAGTACAATATCCAATGCGTCGATTTTGCGCGATTTGCAATTGAACATCCAACCCCAAGACATTAATATCACGCGATTTTTAATTTACATTACTTTATCAGCGATGGATGAACTGATCAAACAGCGCTCAAACAGTTCCGAGTCGATTGACTTCGATGATACATTTTCGGTTAATATCCGATGTTTGTTATGCAATTTATTAACTTATACTGCTTCCGGAAATGTTCCGGCGTCGTTTGTTTGGCAATTATTTACTCGGTGTAGTCGTCCGGATATACCAAAAGAAAGATTCGAATGGGGAATTTACGCTCGAACTATTGAATACGTTCAATACACTGGCTGGAACTTAGAAAAATTGAAATTCAACGTTCGTGCGTTGTTATGTCGAATTTTGAATCAAGTTGTTCTTCGAGTAACTAAACCGTTTCGCGAAAGTGAAATTAAAGCGAAAAAATCGAAATTCGGCGAGGAATACATTCGCCGATTGCACACAATTTATTACCCCCATTATAAGTATTTTATACAAATGGGATAACTATGACAAGAAATACAAATTGGAACTAGGCAAATTTACGAAAAATGTCTTTTTCAATTCGTCGTCTACCGAACAATTCGATGCTAATTCAGCGCAAGCTGTGGTGAATGATTTTCGATCAAGATTAATCACAGAACGACCGAAAGTGTTATCGATGATTCACAAAGAAACTCAGCCAATTACAAATCACGATGAAATTCAAACTTTATTAACACTCATCGAATCATCAATTCCAATCAAAGACCAGTTATCAGATGATGATTTAAACAAGCTTTCCGCCTATCTGGATGATATTCACAAAAATGAAAACAAACTTTGGCAACCATTCAATCCATTTCCGCAATTCATACAAGAAAACAACATCGAAAAACTGTTTGCTGAGAATGATAAGCAAGAAACTGTGCAGGTTGAAGACAATCAAGACATTGTTTTATATAAAGATATGTTCAAAGAACATTACTGCGGCGTTTTGGAACAAATTGCATCTGATTCGTGTTATTTGAGATTAGATGGCCTTTTACAACAGACAACATTGAACTCAATCGACGAATTTCTTACCTTAGCGAAATTTGTAGGATTCGGACAAACGTATGACGAGATTGCGCGAATGACCAAGAAAATCATCCATTCGTTATTAATCAATTGCAAAAAATCAGCGGATGAAGGAGAGAGGCTTGCACTGGCAGAACTTTTTTAAGCTTTTCGAAAAATTTTATTTGAAACTCAGAAATAAAATATTTTAAAAATTCGAAGAGTTTTTCTATTTCTCTCTTATCACAATATGCTTTTGACTCGATGTTCCGAATAGCTTATGAGGGCGACTGAGGAAAATGAAGTTCAGTTTATAGAACAATTCTGTCGGCATTTTGATGAAAGCGAGAAAAGGATTTTAATGACGATCGATTTCAGCCGTCTCTTTTCTTACTATATTGTGAGAGCAACGATACTTTATATGAACTTCATGTCATTGTAATTAAATTTCCTATGTAATCAATACAGCTCATTGAAAAACGAATATTTGATTAAATGTGCTTCTATGTGCAACGGGGGAAAAGCTGTGAAAAGTATAAATGCAAGTGACATAAGCGTATAATTAGGAAATAAGGAAAGGATGTATGGACCATCCACATTTTCAACCTCGATTTATTCTCTGATATAATAACAATGCATGCAAAAACTGTGATTACAGCGAAAATGATAGACTAATGTGATTCCTTGGCCTATCGAAACCATGCATTCACCCTCTCAATTCGCTGTAAAACAAATAAATTCCACTAACTAAATTTTATTTTGAACGAAAGAATGAGAATGACGGTGTGTATTAAAATATTAGAGAATATGACATAGTTCATATGCTAAAATTCAATGTAGTCATTTGCTTCCTGTATATTCAATACGATAAAGACGTCCATTGCCATCGTCACTAAACAAGAGACTGCCATCTTTCATCTCAAGTATGCCGACTGGTCGACCGAATGTTCGAGGTCCGGATGGATCAACCAAGAATCCATAGAGAAAATCTTCATAGTAGCCCAGAGGTCGATTATCGCTTCCAAATGGTACGAAAACTACCTTGTAGCCTGTTCCTGCCTGACGATTCCAAGAACCATGCAATGCAGCAAATGCTCCGTTGCGATAGTGACTCGGAAATTNAAACTATTATTGTTTCAGCGCATTCTTTTTCATATGTAAAAATAAGCAGCATGCATCAGATACGCAAGAGTGTTAGAACATAAAAAGCGATTGTAGAAAGTACGTGCAAGATTCCTACACCCACTTTTGCAGTAGCAGTTTTCAAGAGCATACTTGTAACCATGCAGGAAGAATGAACGAATTAGTATCGTCAAATAAGCACACTACTAATCCAGAATCATTTTGATGTAAAATCGAAACGATTGAAGATTCTGTTCTGTGTGAAAAAGAACGCTTACAAGTCTTGGAATAGCTTATTGGAAATAGACACGAAACTGACTACTGATATCATCATCGAATGGTAGGAGTGAATAATAGTGTCTGAGAAGTGCGCGTGCAAACTGTTCGAAGCCAACAGAACAGAGATGAGTAAGTTATGATATAATACAAAATATAAGGGAAAGATGGAGGTACGAAAAATCGTGTTTTGCTTCTGTCTATTGATTGAGTTGACGACGCATTCTTACCCGATTCGTCGCAATAATCAAATTCTCAAGTATACCCATGGATGGGAAAACTCATCGAAGAATTTTCAATTTAGCAATGATGAACTACAATCGATTATTTTGAATCGAATAATCTTAAGGGCATGTGCTATAGTAAACGCTCGGTTACAGATCCAACTAGTTGCTGGCATTGAGCAATATCTCCAAAAATTTTGATACATACTTGACAACCATCGAATGAGCTGCAGAAGTGAGGAGCCTGAGAGTTTTTCGGTCCGCTTTTCTGCTCGAACTGAACTATCTATGGATGTTTCCCAATATCACGGATCTTTCAGCGCGCTATAACTAGTACTGAAAACGCTTTGAATGTCACCACCTGTACAAAAACAAACCAAACTAGTCATCAGATATAATTCTATCGAGCGAGAAGACGCTGCTAATTGTAGATTATAGGTATTCAATCGTGTTTCATTGTAAGAGTGTTTTTTGTTTGATGTTATAACCAGAGAGCGAGCAAAGCTATTTATTGCGAACATGTATCAATATGTGAAAAAGTCATTTTTATTCTGATTAACTTGAATTTTTGCATCGAGTTTCCTTCGCGTTTGAGTTCTTCTCGATTGTAGAGCACTGCATTGCGTAGTATATCAATTTCCCTTCTCTTTCGTTCGATACACATAAACTATACACAAAAGTCTACCTCATCGAAAAGGATATCTTTATTCGGCTGATGTTTCCTCTCTACAACTCATAAAAAATAAATCTACGATATCAACCGAACAAGTAACATTGTTTGACAAGATAATAATAAAAAGAGACGTGTTCGAGTGAAGCTTTTTTTTCTTCATACGATTATATATATGATGCTGACCGTTCGTGCATATAAGGTCAACCCTCAATTTCTTTGACTACGAACAGTTCTTTCTCTTCTTTTCTTTTCGTTCTTATTCTTTTATATTTCGCGTACGATCGTCAACATGTACATGGTCTATTGATTGATTCACACCGTCATGCCTCCGAAACTAAACAAAAAGACTAATGTCATGAGTCTTTATAAGACATTCATTGATGCTTATTTAAAAGCTCATCGTAACGACGAACCAGGCGTGAGTTTAGCTTGATTAAAAACGAAAGGATACTAGGTTGATTGTTTCTAGGTGAGACATCGTCGCGCAATAGCTGAATGGAATGAATTGAAATGGAATGAAGAATATGTGAAAGAGAAAATTGAAGAATATTTAGAAACTTTTAATCAATTGGTTGCTACTCAATCGAATACAGCTGTTGAACAAGTATTCATTCCACGTCGATCATCAAAAGCAAATAAAGTCAAATCTGATGCATCAGATGACCTTGAAGAAGAAGATGAAGAACAAGAACAAGAACAAGAAGAAGAGAAGAAAAGTCGAAGAAAAAGTTACTTTACTAAGCCACCGAGTAAAGCAACTGAAGATGAGATAAACATTGACGAATTGACAAAAATGCCATCGGCGATACCTGATATTGCATTGGAACCATTAGCGAAAGAAAAACGGCAGCCGGCACAAGAACGTGTTTTTAAAGAATTAAGTTCGATTAACGAACGCATTGCTTCGCTAATACAGATTCGACAAATGGGCTTATTGACAGCAGAGAATCGAAAGCAGTTGAAACAATTGATGGCAGATAGAAGAAAGAAAGCTTTTGAACTACGACGTCTTCAATTAAAAGTCAAAGCTTCGCATCGATATCGCGATAAACGAAAAAAGATTGTACGAGAATGAGTTTAGTTTTGATGAACGAGTCTGTTTTCTGTTTAGGTGGAAAATCTTTTCGAAACAAAACCAGAATTGCGTCCAAAACTGAAAAAACTCTATCGACCGGGCGGTGGACGGCCAACTATTGAAGAACAATATCCTGATCTATTACAAATCATTGAAGAAATTGCCAAAGTCGGAGGTGCAAGCGATTGCGGACGTCGATCCGAGATCATTCGACCTTGTTTGACATTAGATGATCTAAGAGAAAAACTTCGACAACGAGGTTATTATGTCAAACGAACAACACTCTATTATCGTCTTTTACCTCATCGTATTAATTCGATCGATGGTCGTCGACATGTGCACACTGTTCCTGTTCGTCTTCGTCGTGCACAAAACGACGAACATGGTAAGCACGACGATGGCCATTTTGCTGCTGCGACAATTCGTTATGTCAAGGACTTGATTTCCATATTTGGCAATGATTGTGTCTTATATTTATCTCAGGATGATAAATGTAAAGTTCCTATCGGTCTCCCTGCCGCTCGTGCACAAGCTCCGATGTTGATGCATTTGGATTATCGCGTACGTCTACCGGATCATGACTGGACAGTTGCCCCGCGTCATCAACTAACGCCAAGTGTGTATGCGGCATGTCTTCTATCCTCTGATGGAACATTGAGCCATTGCGGACCGACATACATCGCCATACGTTCGGCTAAACACGATCTGTCCAGCGCCGAATCTCACGCAGCTGATTTTGATCGTCTTGTTAGCTTGAAAGAATTTGAGAATATTGCACGAGATAAGGCCAATCAAGTCAAACCGATTGTGGTGTTCACAGTCGACGGTGGTCCGGATGAAAATCCACGTTTTCCAAAAACATTGGTAGCTTGCATTAAGAAATTCAAGAAATACAATATGGACGCATTGTTCGTTCTTACATATGCGTAAGTTTTGACTTTCAACGATCGAATAGAAAATACAGATGCTTTTTTAGTCCGGGTCAATCGGCCTACAATATTGTTGAACACCGTATGGCACCTTTGTCTCATGATATGGCTGGTCTCATTCTTCCTCACGATTTCTATGGCTCGCATCTGAGTGATTCAGGTGTAACAACAAATATCGACCTAGAGAAAATGAATTTTCGCAAAGCTGGAGAAATTTTAGCTGAAACGTGGAATCAAACCGTTGTCGATGGATTTTCATGTGTCGCAGAGTACATCAGTCCACCGGCAACAACCGAAGATGAACGAAGACAAAGCGATATCAAATATATCATCGATAGTCTTTTACGAGAGTAAGATGAACACGTTCACTGAGTTTTGACCGAAGTTTCTATTTGTAGAATTTGTGCGGATGAAGAAGCAGAAGGAGAAGGACACGGGCATCGTGTATCAGCACGGGATGAATACCATCAGGAAAATGCCCGTCCGGCAAGAGAAAAACTTAGTGAGCCAATGAAATATGACATCGATGAATATTGGTGTGCAACACATGTTTTACAAACACAGTATACTTTACAGATTATTCGTTGTAATTCCATTTCATGTTGTGGACCATGGCGATCGAATTATGTGAAGATCTTTCCACATCGATTCTTACCATCACCGGTCCCGTTCGAACGAACCGTTCACGGCATTCGAGTAGCTGAGAAAGATTATCAGAAAGGAATATTTTACGGTTCGTTATTTCAACGAATTCAATTCCATGGAATTGTTATCCAACATACGCAAGTAAGAAAGGAATTTGCTTGTAGAGAATCATCTTGATTTGACTTTGTTTCAAGAACGAAATGTTACCATTTGATTACTGTTGTGCATCGGTTAAAAAAGAATTGAAAAAACGGACTTGTCAAATATGTAATCAATACATTCCGTCAGCATATCGAATGAAAAACCATTATAAAATTCATGCACAACACTACGACGATTTCGATCATGACCAAGACGATACTCTGCCACCTTCGGAAAATGCTCAATCAATAAATCCAACTTCAACAAAACAGATATTAGACTGGCTTCAATCAGATACGAACGTCAGCGTTACTGTGGACAGAGTTACAGATTCTTCCGATACATGCTAAACCAAAGTTCGATATTGTGATTGTTTTAGTTATTGGTTTTATTAAGCGTCTGTTTTAACGTTCGTTATTTCAGTAACATTGAATTGATTGCTCATGAAATAGAAACTGGTGTACAAAGGCAAAAAAGTATTACAATACGCTTGCGTGTCATAGAAGTCATGATTCTTCGTCGAAGATTTCATCAGACAATCGACTTCAAAGAAAGTGTCGAAAAGAAAAATAAAATTCTCTTCTATAAACGTTCTTGTTTTCTTTTCTCGATATTTTTCGTTTCTATGTTAAAATGACTAGGTTTAATGAGTTGTATACTAAACCAATGGGATTCACTATCAATGACGCATTCATTGTTTTCTGTCCAAATCTAGGTCAATCTTTGTGCAATGTACATGTCATCACTTTTTATATGTTCTCCCATTTCTTTACGCGACTTCCCACTACATGGCGTCATCAGCGAAGCGTTTGATTGGCTTTTCAGTTGTATAACATATACATATAAATAATCGATGTAGATCAACCTGCGATATCCTATCGTTAATTTGGCGTCAATTCTTACCGATGGAAAAGCAATTGAAAACAATCAAACATGTTTATTCAACAGTTTATCATGGTGAACAACGATGTATGCAAAATGCAAACTTCTTATCCGTTAATAACGCAATTGTCTATCCAAATGATAAACTTTTATACAAAAAGTCAGATAACACGATCGATTTCATCGATCTTTCGACGATCAATAAGAGTGTATTCTTCGATAAAGGTTCAAATCAAGATACAGTTTATGGAAATGTCGTACAAAAATATAGTTTAGCCAAGTCGCATCTAAGCTTCAATCCTGACGAGTACGAATGCGAAATGATCGACACTGGTGAAACATTCATCCTAAATCTAATCGATAAAAACTTGCCCACCATCATTGCTGTATCAGAGATCTATCCAACATATTTCGATCTTGGATTATGTTCACAAAGGTCCAATCCGGTGTGTTTAGATTTTAGGCATCGCATACTTGACAATTTAAAACATTCTGGTGATATTAACATCGTAGGTTCAGCTGGAAGCACGTTGTTACATTGTATATCCGGTCAATTCAATCCTGGAATGAAATACGTTACGGTTATTTCGGGATTTCAATCGACTCCATTGTATCGATACCTGGAACGACGACCGATCGTCACAATTATCGATCACGAAAAGAAAATTATCTACGTCATTCCGGTTCCATTAGATGAGTTTACCATCGGACAATCCACAATATGTCTACCGATTGGTATTACATGTTTAGAGAGTTCAGAAAACTCCAAGCAAAGATTATTAATTGAAATATTCTCGAATACAAAATCCTGTGATAGTTATATACCAGATTTATCATCTACGGCTCGAGATACAGTTGCTCAATCAATTGAAATGATCAGCTCAGATATACCAATTGAGAAAGTAGTCAATGAAACGGTGAAAGTCAATATTTCTCATGAAATCGAAGTCGACCAGGACGAGGAATATAAAATTCCATCGATGGGTGAACATTCTGTTCTTATCTATAGTGGCGTTGATGAAATCGGAGATTTAACGAAAAAAATCAATCCAGACATACTGATCCGATCGATGAACACACACATTATCTACAGAAAACAAAATGATAAATATGAATTACATCCGGAATATCATGACATGAACTCCAAAGAAGAATTAAATATAGGTCAACAGCATTTTCCGAATTTATTACCTATGGAAGGCGGATCGATTCTATTCGCCAGTAAAACCGTTCCTAGGTTGAACTCGAATCAATCTGTAGTCGATCAAATCCACCAGACGATCTTTCGAAATACTTTTCCAGTATTCATCATTGGTCCGATGGATGATTTATGTCGTCAAGCTGCAACAAAACTTAAATTCAACGCAATCTACATTCGCATTGTCGACTATCCCGGTGAGGAGATTATGATCGATGACGTTAAACGAAACACGTTTCTCGAAAATGCATGCATGAATGGTGTGACAGCATACGCGGGACCATTATCTCTTGTTTTCATCGCCATTCAAAATCCAACGACGAAGAATTTTCAATATTTTTATGTGGATGGTATTCGTCACGAGAATTTCATCGATACGATTCCACTGTTCGGTGCTGACGTAACAAGCCTCATCGAATCCAAGCTGACGGAACGTGAGCCAATGCAAAATTCGATTGTCGATCTCACTGACGAAAAAGTTCTGTTCAAAAAAGATTTTATACCATTCTCAGACTTTCGAGTACAGCTACTGGTGATGTCATTGGATGAAATGGTCGCGAATAAAGCTGATATACTCGATGTGATTTCTCAATGTCAACGAATCTACGGACACGAAATGATGCGTAAATGTTCAGATGAATTACTTCTATTGTTAGAAAGCAAAATCAATGAAGTCATCAGTGAGTGTAAGAAATCATTTTGCCTCGATTTACAATCGGATAAACAAAAGCTAGCGAATGAAGTCGGTCGAGTCACAGGTATGATTCGCAAAATAAAACAGAGTGTTCAAGACTTGGTAGATAAAATCGGATTGGCTATATCGAAACGAAGACAATCGTCCATTCGATTCAACTTGGCTCAATTAAAGAAGAAGGAAACGATCAAGCAAAATGTTCAACGAGCTTTACACATGTCCTATCAAGATTTTTCAGATTTACTGGACGAATTATGTAACAAATCCGGCGTGTTATGGTTAAATCTCGATTCACAATACTTACTTCTGATGTTAAAAGCAATCAAAGAGAATGAAATGCACAAATATATGACCGAACCAATTTTACCCTTAATTCGTTGCCGAAATGGCGATTTCAATATTGATTCATTTACAATATCGATTCTCTTAGAACAAACCGCACACAACCGATTCGATCCTATTCGACCACAACAAGTCGATGGTATTGTCACAAGTTTACCTGTCTCGGCAACACCGGAAGGCTTGCAAACAAGTTCGTGGTTCTTTCCTTTATTTGATAGATACAAAGATCTACAAGTTCCCTATGATGTCAATTGGATAAACGAAGCGAATCATCCTGACATAGCATCATTTCGTATTCTCGCACGAAATACAATATCCAATGCGTCGATTTTGCGCGATTTACAATTGAACATCCAACCACAAGACGTTAATATCACACGATTTTTAATTTACATTACTTTATCAGCGATGGATGAATTGATCAAACAGCGCTCGAACAGTTCCGAGTCGATTGACTTCAATGATACATTCTCAGTTAATATTCGATGTTTGTTATGCAGTTTATTAACTTATACGGCCTCCGGAAATGTTCCGGCGTCGTTTGCTTGGCAATTATTTACTCGGTGTAGTCGTCCGGATATACCAAAAGAAAGATTCGAATGGGGAATTTACGCTCGAACTGTTGAATACGTTCAATACACTGGCTGGAACTTAGAAAAATTGAAATTCAATGTTCGTGCGTTGTTATGTCGAATGTTGAATCAAGTCGTTCTTCGAGTAACTAAACCGTTTCGTGAAAGTGAAATTAAAGAGAAAAAATCGAAATTCGGCGAGGAATACATTCGCCGATTGCACACAATTTATTACCCCCATTATGAAAAATTGGTTCGTTATTGCATACATATCCGAGAGACCAACGAGCCAATCGATCAAGAAAAAGTCGATGAAATATTTCGTGTGTTAGGAGTATTCGACAATCGTCGATATCGCGTTGGAAGTATTTATCAGTTGCGACGGTCTTTGAAACACAAATTTCAAAATCGAAAGTTCGATGATCAATTAATTAATTGTATTTTATACAAATGGGATAACTATGACAGGAGATACAAATTGGAACTCGATGAATTTACGAAAAATGTCTTTTTCAGTTCGTCATCTACAGAACAGTTCAACGCTAATTCAGTACTAGCTGTGGTGAATGATTTTCGATCAAGATTAATCACAGAACGACCGAAAGTGTTATCGATGATTCAAAAAGAAACTCAGCCAATTACAAATCACGATGAAATTCAAACTTTGTTAACACTCATCGAATCATCAATTCCAAACAAAGACCAGTTATCAGATGATGATTTGAACAAGCTTTCCGCCTGTCTGGATGATATTCACAAAAACGAAAACAAACTTTGGCAACCATTCAATCCATTTCCGCAATTCATACAAGAAAACAACATCGAAAAACTGTTTACTGAGAATGATCAGCAAGAAACTGTGCAGGTTGAAGACAATCAAGATATTGTTTTATATAGAGATATGTTCAAAGAACATTACTGTGGAGTTTTGGAACAAATTGCATATGATTCGTGTCATTTGAGATTAGATGGCCTTTTACAACAGACACCATTGAACTCAATCGACGAATTTATTACCTTAGCAAAATTTGCGGGATTCGGACAAACGTATGACGAGATTGCGCGAATGACCAAGACAATTATCCATTCGTTATTAATCAATTGCAAAAAATCAGCGGACGAAGGAGAGAGGCTGGCACTAGTAGAACTTTTTTAAGCTTTTTTAAAAATCTTATTTTAAACTCAGAAATAAAATATTTTAAAAATTCGAAGAGCTTTTCTATTTCTCTATCATCACAATATGCTTTTGACTCAGCGTTTCGAATAGTTTACGAGGGCGACTGAGGAAAATGAAGTTTATAGTTTATAGAACAATTCTGTCGATATGTTGATCAAAGCAAGAAAAGAATCTTAATGACGATCGATTTCAGTCGTCTCCTTTTGTTACTATATTTTGAGAGCAACGATACTTTATATGAACTACGTGTTATTGTAATTAAAGATTCTGTGTAATTAACACAGCTCATTGAAAAACGAAGATTGACTAAATGTGTTTCTATGTGTAATGGGAAAATGCTGTGAAAAGTATAAATGCAAGTGACATGAGCGTATACGTAATTCGGAAATAAAGAAAAGATGTATGGACCATCCACATTTTCAAACTGGATTTATTCTCCGATACAATAACAATGCATGCAAAAACTGTGATTACGGCGAAAATGATGGACTAATGTGATTCCTCGGCCTATCGAAACCATACATTCACCCTCTCAATTCGCTGTAAAACAAATAAATTCCGCTAACTAAATTTTATTTTGAACGAAAGAATGAGAATGATGGTGTGTATTAAAATATTAGAGAATTATGACATAGTTCTGCATATTCATATGTTAAAATTCAATGTAGTCATTTGCTTCCTGTATATTCAACACGATAAAGACGTCCATTGCCATCGTCACTAAACAGGAGACTGCCATCTTTCATCTCAAGTATGCCGACTGGTCGACCGAATGTTCGAGGTCCGGATGGATCAACCAAGAATCCATAGAGAAAATCTTCATAGTAGCCCAGAGGTCGATTATCGCTTCCAAATGGTACGAAAACTACATTGTAGCCTGTTCCTGCCTGACGATTCCAAGAACCGTGCAATGCAGCAAATGCTCCGTTGCGATAGTGACTCGGAAATTGCTGACCACGATAGAATCGCATGTCGAGTACTGCGGAGTGTGCTTGAAAGAGAACATCGGGTGTGCGGGTTATAGCAACAAGATCTGGTCGTTCACTTGAACCATTGGCGAAGCGGCGACGAGGATCGACATTTTTCGACGAGAGGTATGCTTAACAAGTCGATGAAAACATTTGAAAAGCTTTTCGATGATCCTTAAGATAGAAACTTACCGAATGGCCATCCGTAGAATTCGTCTTTGGCAATGCGAGTGAAATAGTCCGGCACAAGATCATCTCCAAGTTCATCTCGTTCTTGTACAGCTACATAGAAATCTCCTGTGATTGGATGGAAATCCATGCCTACTGGATTGCGTAGTCCATGACTGAATGTCTCTGGATTTGAGCCATTTGGTTCGGCTACTTGAACAGATGCACGTGGAGGATATTCAATATTCACATTGCTACCCGAACCAACTGATACGTAGAGATGATCGCCACTGGGTGAAAGAACTAAACTTCGCGTCCAGTGACCTGATCCAGGGTATGTCATCAAGACAGTTCCTGTTCCGTGTAATCTTTTATCACCAGGAGTGTAAGTGTAGCGACGAAGATTGCCGGCAGTGGCAACATAGAACCAGTTCTGAAAAATACAACATTACTCGTTCGATTGCACATGGGTATTCTTAACAAAAAATGAACCTTATAGAAAGCCATGCCAAAAGCTCGAACAATACCATTGGATATGTCTCCAAATACTGTTTTAGTATTGCCTGTCAGGATAGAAATACGATTACCTGAGCTTTCCGTGACGAGGATTTCTCCCGTAGGCGTATAGATCATTTGTCGAGGCGATTGAAGACCGTCGAGATAAACACTCACTCGATAATTACCACCTGGTACGAACAGCGTAGCATCTGATGGTACAGGCACAACAATAGCTGGCTTGGAGGCAGATGATGTATTGTATGGTGGTGGTAGGTCATTCACAGTGATTCGAATAGGTACTGGTGTAAATGGCTTGACAGGAACAACTTGTCCTGTCGTTGCACACACAAGAGCGAGAAGAACAACCAAGATAAGCATCTCGTCAGGGATCTGAAATCTGAATATCGGCAATGCGATTTAAATATAGGCAACTGCTATCTTCTGAGGTAATAAATATTTATTGCGAGAGTAACGAGCAAGGATTTTGCTTGTGGACGATGATGATGCTATTTTAAAACGTTTGTTGCAATTGATATCGACGTGCGAGTAAGAGAAAGTGAAAGGCAGATAGAGAACAGAAGTGAAATAAGATGGTTGTTGTTGATTTATCAAGGTAAAGTGCAAGTGATTAGAAAACGTATATTTAACATTTATGATGCAAAACATGACGAGGCAAAAAGATAAATCAAGAACGTCAAGTCTACATATCACATAGCTTTTATGGCAAGTTTAATTGCTTTGTAAAATAGATGCAAATATTACTTGCATGAGTACACTTCTCTCCTGAAAATCAATCAGTAATAACTGACATAATTGCCATTCTTTCTTCAATACCGTACTTGCAAATTCTTCTAAGCCACTATTACCAATATCAGCCAGGTTCTTCAACGATTTTGGTTTATGAGGTAGTATCGAATCGACAATGGTCGATACTTGTGGGGTCAACGTCCAACTCAATTTGAACAGCGCAGAAACAGGTAACGCAGGAATCGAATTGAACTGAGTCACCTGCTGCCAATTATAAGCAGTCATTTGTGCAAGTGAGTCTGAATTAGCATAAGAATTAATCATGCTAGAACCATACCATAGTTGAGTATAATTGGCAATTGTAGCATCGTCACTTAAACTAATCACAACGCGNACAATGGTCGATACTTGTGGGGTCAACGTCCAACTCAATTTGAACAGCGCAGAAACAGGTAACGCAGGAATCGAATTGAACTGAGTCACCTGCTGCCAATTATAAGCAGTCATTTGTGCAAGTGAGTCTGAATTAGCATAAGAATTAATCATGCTAGAACCATACCATAGTTGAGTATAATTGGCAATTGTAGCATCGTCACTTAAACTAATCACAACGCGCTGATTACTGGCAATCATTTCACCGATAGTTGTGCTATTGAAACTTTTCGTTCGTGGATATAACATCGAATCGAATAGGTTGATAACCATGTCTCTCAAGATATTCAAATTGTTCTGTGTTAAATTCTTGCTGGCGAGATGCGAAATTTCAATGACCATAATTTCATTTGGATGTGATAATAGAAATGAATGTAATGCAACGAGATGAGTGTAAATAGGTAAACCGAGTTCGAAATGATATGAACACCAATCTGTACCATTGTACGCAGCGCGAATATCAAAATAACGCATGCCATCCTCCGCTTGATCGTATAAATTCTTTCCTTGTGATTCTGCCCATGGTGTAATCACATCTTGCAACGGTATTCCCAATTTCTCTGCTAGTTTCACCAGAGCATCGAACACTGGACTTCCAGTAGGATCAGGAGATAATGCTGAGGTCAGAGTGAACGATGCAGCATCGTGTGTGCCGGGTAATGTCAAGTTGATTAAGTGATAATGAGCAATGTAAGGAAGAAGTTGTTGCATCCAAATACTAGTGTTAATCGATGTTGTTTGTACATTAACTGGAATATTTGAAGTAGGATGTGCATTATTAGTTGTTAAAACCGATGAAAGTGCTAATGTTAAGAGACCGATAAGCATGTTGACTACGGCAAAAAAATTAAGTAAAATGATAACAAATGTTTTTCTTTACCAGAGTTATCAAAACAGTGTGTTTTTATCTATGTTTATTATTGACATTTGAGCACAAAAAGAAAGTCGATAGTATTTTCATCACTCGAAAATATGAAGAAAAGTTCATTTTGTTGAAGGACCGAGAAAACTTTCAGGCAAATTGGGTGAGGATGTGAATGTGTTAACAAATGGAAATGAAACAATACCAATTGAACGAATGAAATTTTGCGAACAATATTCAGACATATTCGTTAGCGTAGAAAAGATTCTGTATTGTTCATTGAGCGATAGGCATCATAGCAAAGTCCTTATCAATTTATTTCAATCATATAATCATTGGTACAGGCTCTGCAGGTGCAACATCAACAACTCTTTCCAATCCACTTGAACCATTTGTTAATACTAATCTGGTTTTTTATGTTGCAGATTATGAAAATCATCGTATAATTAGATTTGGCGCCAATGTGTTTCAATGTTTAATCGGATGTCAAAATTCATAAACTGAGTTTACCGATGGAGCTTTCGTCTATAAATAAAAAAAATTATTTTTTGTTATAATTTGCAGCATGTATAAACGGCAACAATACTATGGTCACATTTGACGATATAGTCTCTTCGGGAAGTAGCGTACTCATTTCCAACGGATATAAAAAAACTTACCTGGACAAATGCATATATTAATACACGGTCACAAAATTCAAGTAGATACTACACAGGTGCTGTCAGTGGTAATTATACAATGTTAAATGGATATGACCATCGGATGACTACACAAAGCTTGAACAAGCGCTCTTTCACTCTTCATTCTGCTATAATAAGCTTCAATTAACTCGAACAATTCTTTTCTCCTTTCTGCTTTTTGTCATTTCTTTTCGCATTTTATAGAGATTAGTTTACAGATAAATGTACCTTAATATCTACTATATAGAATTTTTTCGTTCATATTAAATTAAAGTCTAAGTTTGTAACTGCGAGAAAAATATTAGTAATTTTTGGAATATTAATGGTATACCATCGATAATTCATTTTTTTGTATCATCATTATTTGTTGTGACAGTTTGCTAAGGATAGATGATGATGATGCGAAGAAAAGAGATACTCGGAACGTAAAAGTAAGAGATCTGGCGTTCGATGTAGACATGTGACACGATCAGCGTATACAAAAAATTCAAAAGGATTCATGACATAATGATTTGTGAGATTTTTAATTATTTGATTGAGACGAGCTTACACCAGATGGAAATACTCTTCAGTAACGTGAGCGAGTGATGTAACACAATTTCATTCTGCACAGTCATGGATACCACAGAAAGAAAATTGCACGCTTTCATAATTGATATTACTCAAAATTCTGCTTTGATATATCATGATTTCAAAATTTATAAGTAGCGAACCGAAAATTCAGCAAAATAGAAATAATTGATTATTAATAGCGTTAAAAACCTGTAATTATACACATCGGTTCTATATATATATGTTATTAACAAATTGGATGAATTTTCACTTCTCTTTGTATTCACATATAATTCAATCAAAAGATAATATGATTTCAAATATAGCAAGGCACAAGAGTTATATGTCGTTTAATAATTATAGAATCATGATTTACTGCATAAATATATAACATAGAAAGATAAAAGAGTAAAAAATTTCTCGCTATTCTTTGTGTAGATGGCTGTCTGGACTTGACAGGTGCAGATAATATATAAAGTGTCACTGAAAAAAGATCCGGCATTCATTTTTTGCATCGCTCACAGAAGAATGACAACTTATTCTAATGACTCGGACGAGAATGCATTCGAAAGCATCGAAGTGCCTATACCACGTCCCGTTCGATTTTGGATTTTTCTTCTAGCTGATGTTCCATCAGTTGTCTGTAGTTTCGTTCTTTTGATTTACTTCTGGAAGAATCACTCAACTCGACGAACATTGAATAATCATGTTGTTTTTCTCATATTAATATGTGGTCTAGGTGTTGAATTAGTCGATGTACCCTTTCATCTCGCATATATCATCGATTCGGGTATTGTAAAACCTTCAACTCCAGCAACTTGTCTCATCTGGTGGTTTATTACTTATGGATTATTTAATGGTCAGCAAATACTTTTGGCATGGGCAGCCATCGAAAGACATATTCTTATATTCAATGCTCAGTTAATGACAACGAAACGTGCTCGATACTGTGCTCACTATTTGCCTTTGATGGTTACATTTTTATATATATTGTCTTTTTATATCTATGCTATTTTCATCTTTCCATGTGAGAATACTTTTGATTATAATTTACCAGCGTGTAACGCATCACCGTGCTATCAGAATGATTCGCTGATGGGTATGTGGGATTTCATCGGAAATAATATTGTACCAGGACTTTTAATCACATTTGTAAGTATCGCTCTGCTAATTCGTGTAGTTCGACAAAAGCAACGTTTAAAACAGCAAATTCATTGGCGTAAACATCGCAAAATGACAGTACAGTTACTATTAATGGCGATATTATCTATGATCTTTATTCTTCCATTGAATCTACTTTCACTTGCACATTTATGTGGTTTGCCTGAAGAAATCGGTGCAGATGAAGAGCAATATCTGTTCTACACTGCGTATCTATTCATATTTTTCATTCCGTTTGTTGTACTATACTCAACATCAAAATTATGGGCTACAATCAAAATGAAACTGTTGTGTCGCTTACATCATCGTATTGGTGTACATACGATAAACCACGCGACAGTTAATACGACTCGAAGATAGAGTTCGATGATCGCTCAGATCAGCAAAATCGATCAAACATTCATTAACTTTAAATCTGTATTAGTTTTTTCTCTGTAATTTATCAAATTTATATAGAATCACACAAAAAATATTTTATTCTAAGGTCAAAACAACAGTATAAGGGATATAGTATTTGTGTAAATGAGTTTAAAATGCTGCATTGTAGTCTGGTATGTTTTGACGAAACGCTGAATATTGTACTACCGGATAGGGTGCACTGTGCATTGACATGGACTCTTGGGATGATTGTGATGTTATCTTATGAGGTCGTGCGGCATTAGGAATGTCTGCTAAAGCATTGTATACTAATCTACGATCGAATATGAACACTTCTGAACCAGTTAAAGCGCGCAGAGTAATGGGAACACCTCTTCTACACTTACAGGAATCGCACAGAGAACAAAGAACCACACATGGACAACAAAACACTATGCACAATAAACTCGCGCAGTTCAGACTAGGACATCGACACGTAGGATATCTTTCCGCCCGATTCGAGTTTTTCCAGGACTTATTCGTCCTCGTATGCATTCCAACCATTCCAACAATGATTCCAGATAGAACTCGACGAGCTCTATCGATTGGTAAAAAGATTTTCCCAAAAAGTCACTTCCGTACCCCC